TCATCGTTGCGTGAGTGAATTTTGTCATCGAGTTCGTTAAATGTACATTTGCCGCAGCCGGAAAATAGCCTCGTGCAGCTGATGCGCTGCGCTCTAAAAGTCGTGCGTGATCGGCAATTGGAGCATTTTCGCGCGCTCGTTTATAGGTGCTCTTGAAATATCATTTATTTTTTTATTCAATTTCGCGGATAGATGTGCAGATGAAGCGTGCATCGGCGCGAGCGTGGAATATTGCGCGTAATAAATTTCGAGATTTTAACGAGCTCGTAGCGGTAATAAAGGCCAGCGAGTCCGGGCGCTAGAGCGAGGCTTTTAAAAGCGACACTAGACAGCTCGAGAAACAAATTATCACGGCTTGGCGCGCGTATAGATATTGCTCGAGAGCGATTGCTCTCTCTCTCTCTCTCTCTCTCTCTCTCTCGAGCTAGCTCTAGCAACGACGCAAGAGAGCTATGTAACGGTGGCATTTCATCGATGCGTCCGAAGTATGCAGCGCGCCAAGTGCAGCAACGAACCGCAGCTGCGTTCGGAAATGAAAATTCCCAGTCCGCTCGACTCGAGAGCTTCCTGCGACTCTCGCAGCTCTACGCTGCCAATGGCTTTTTCTTTAATTTCATATGCAAATGCGCACTTACTTTTTACGCGACATTTATTGTCTCCGGCTGAAATCGAGTATTTACCGTACGTGCGGGGAAAAATCTAATATGCAAATTTGTGCCGCGTTAATATCCGTGTAAGAGCGCGGCCGTGTCGATAGCGTGGTATGAGTATACCTGACACCTTTGACAAAAACAGTCGTAGCCGTCGTCGTCGTCGTCGCGTCGGCGTCCCGCATCCGGAAGAAGAAGAAGAATATTTCAAAAGATTCGCGTCATTTTGAAATTTGAAAGGCTGCGACAGAGAGCAGAGAGAGAGAGCAGCTCGCACCTGAGTATGTGTATACATATTCACACCTCGCTGAATAATAAAAAGCAATTTATCGGCTCGACGGCAAAACTTATATACAGGCGTACGTACAAGCGTAATGCAGGCTCTTCTATGCATAAATAAAATAAATACATGCGAAGGTGCCTCGTCGCTGTCCGGAGCTCTCGCACGCACGCGGGACGAGCTCCGCAACGGACAAGCGCTACACACCTCGCTATGTGTCATTCGACAAACTTATCTTATCAAGAACTCGCCTCTCTTTCTCTCGTACATGCATACGTACCAGGGAGCTTACATAACTTGGAAAATACTAAATACGAGATGCAGAGCTGGAAAACTTTTTGCGTAATTTATATATGAATGATACTTGTCGAGCAGCGCAGAGATCAACTCGGCGTTAAGATCTTTCGCCTAATGGATTATATGCAAATTACGCCCGAGCCTAGCGAATGATCTCGTACTGCGATTATTCGCACTGCGCGTCGTTTCTCAGTCGAGTTGGATTTTAAAAAAAATTTCGATTGTTCGCGTTTCGAATTATTATGTGTAGTGCAATATTTACGATCTGCTCGAGCGAGCGTGAGTAATAGAAATTTTCGAGTGGCGCCGCGATAAATCATTCAAAAGCTGCTCTTATCGTTCGTTCTCGAGTGCTAGGTAAATTGAAGCTCCAAAATATAATATAATTCGCTGCGGCGAGCCACACCGTGGCGACTTGTGTCTATATTGACTCGAAAAAAAAAACAATCAATGAAATAATTGCGTTATCACGATCGTAATTGTACCGAATCAATCATCGTGTCTCTAGCCGCGTGCGCGACCTTGTCGCCCGTAATAAAACACACATCTTCAATTAAAATGGATGTTTACCCGCAGAGAGAGAGCCTCGTGGCGCGCGTGGCGTACTACTGTATACAATACCACTGCGTCAGGCGAAAGCCGCTCAACTGGTTCAACGAAACCTCCTCGAAGCTGTTGCGCCTCGACGCCGTCGTCGTCGTCGTTACAATAAGAGAAACCCCACGAGATCAGTGAGAGACAGCATGCGCATTTTTCGGCACCGAAAGTTCACAATTGCGAGTCGAGGTGCGCACGATCGTCGCCGTTTCTGTCACTGCTGCTGCTGCTGCGGCGCGAATCGGATCAAGGACACGATGCGCGCTAAAGTTAGTCAACATTATTACAGTTGTCAGTCTTGTGCACTGCAGGGGCCGGTCGCTGCGCACAATTGGCCGGCTGCAGTTGTTACGGCTAATCTCGTTAAGCCAATAGCGTGTTTAGCGTCAATCATCGGTAGGCTGCAGTTTTCGTCGTCTCGTTCGTTTACGAGTGTCATCGATTATACCGACGCGTTTATATATACAACATGCGAATGAAAATTTACGGTGAGATTTTACGATACAGCGTGGATAATAATAATGCGGGCCTATATACACACACACATACGCATGCTGCACGCAACGAGTCTCGAGCTGCTCGTAAAATTGATAATTGAAATATTGAGCGTGTTTAAACTTTTTGTTTGTGTCGTGTACGTACGCAGCAGCTCTCCTCGTATTATATGTATGCGTAAAGTCTCGGCGATGAGCGCGTCCGTATATATATTATACATTATGCAAGTGACGAAAAATGAGAGCGGGGAAAAAAAGCTCGGGTTCGCACAATGAGAGAGGCGAAAGCATCAACATGCGTTTGAGCAAACAACGCACACCAATTCACCACAACGCGGCCTGTATATATAAGAGAGAATTCCCTCTTACGCGCCTGCAGTGTGTACACGTAAACGCAAAACGTCATTTGAAATTTATTCGACTTGGCCTATGCCGTGCTACGCCCGAGAGCTGCGCCGCAGCTATATAGGATGTGTATCCCTCTCGGCTCCGCGGGAGGTGAAATATATGATATACATTTATATTTCCTTTCGCACGCGCCCTTTTTGCGAATTAACAAGTCAACGTCGATGTAGCTATACAAGCACGGGGCTCTTTGATTAAACCCGGGATTCCCCTATTTTCCGCCCTTGCCTTGACGACGAGCTTTGCGATAGACCCGATCTATTTTTTTTTTCTATAGACGAAAAGCAGCTCTCGGGTTGCATTACTAGATGCAGCATGTGCACGGCGAGTTTTATTGCAATTCCGCATGGACATGGCCAGCTCGAGCAAGCAGCAAGGCTAGTTACTATACTACACGCATTATTTTTCCCATCTTAATTGCAACCGTGTAAGATTTATGTAAGCGCTCTGCTCTAGCGCGCATTTTTTTTTTGTCCCCTCCCGGTTTATATCATCTGCCAGGCAGGCACAGAGTCGTAAAGAGAGCCGCGAGTCGCGGGAATTCATATAGACGTTTGTGTCATCTTCTTGGAATTTTGCTTTGTGCGCGCGGAGATCGCCCATAAGCTCGCGTATAGAGAGCAGAATTGCATTCTAGATCAGCTGGTGCTCGACCGAAGCTCTCGTATACGCAAGAACTTTTGTAATGATTGGCTATTTCCAAAGCACGATATTTCGGTCAACTATTTCTGATCTTCGGGTTCGAGTTTATGTATAGGCGTGAGTGTGCGGCTCCCGCAAGCATAATAATGTGCCGCACTCGAGCTCTTTTCGCATTTTCATTGCATTTTCATGCGCGACGCACACGCGTTGTAGTACAAACTACACTGCAGCAGACGCGAAGCAGACACTCGACAGTGTTTGTTTGTTTGTTCGCGAGCTAAAAGTCTATTCGCGCCAGTGGCGATAAAGGCGCCACCGCAACAAACGGACCATGTATTACATTATATGCCTACGTACGCGAACGCGCTAAAGATCCATCAACGCGACGAGGTAATTGGATCTCGGCGAGAAAGAAGATATCGCATAGGTATTATTGCGAGCTCGCGTCCAGTTATATATATAATATTTGCCCGCCTACGTGCGAGCGCGACTTGATTTATCGGCAATATCGAGCGAAAAAAGGACGATTTTTAACACATTAAGCTGAAAAATATGCTAATTCAGCCCTGTCATATCTAACATCGGAGCGATAAATATCTTTCGCTCTCTCGGCTCCTCTGCGCCGAAGCTATGTGTGTAGCGTATTACGTTGTGTTGTAGTCACACGTTCGTTTCCGCGAAATCAAGTTTTGTCTGGGCTGTATACACATAATATTCGAACGTATTTTATCTACGCGTGGCTTATATATGCGCCCGAAAAAGCGAGCCCATAGCCTACATGCGTATACACATTATGAATGCTATATGGCCCTTTTATACTGCTATATAGTCGTCGTCCGATCGGTAGCCTTTGCCATCTTATACCGATGTAGATATAACACGCAAAGAGAGAGAGAGCGAGCGCGCGTAGTCTGTGGGATTAATCGATTCGCTCGTCGTTTCTCCTTTTGCGCTTTATATTACGAAGAGAGCTGCAGCATACTGCTCGGCCGCGTGCAACAGGTCTCGCTCTCGCTTGGTCGGTCGCGCGCGATGTACATAAATATCTTTGATATTACGTATTATATATGACGCCGCGTGCGCCGAGAGTCCGCTGCCTATATACATAATAATAAAAATTAATCGATCCGATTGCGGACGAATCGCCGCGGCGTATAATGATCTACCGCCTGCAATCATAATGCATCAGCTGTACGCGAGCACATTGTGTGCGTGTGTGTGTATGTGTATGTGTCCGCCGAGAGAGATTGAGCAACCGCGTGCACAGACACCGCCACCGACGAGCGTAATAAACACACGACTCTTTTTTTGTTTTGCTTATCTCGTTGTTCGTTTAACGCACGTGTGTCGGTGTCGGCTGCGTACACGGCTCAATCATTTTCGTCTGGATCGTCGTCGAGGTAATTTTTTCGCTTAATTTCGTTGTGGTTTTCTCGAGCCCAAGGCCGCAATCAAAGACAGGAGCGCGTGAAAAAATGTTCATCAACATTTTAATAATAATAATAATAATAATAATAATAACAGACTGCACTAAATGGGAGCGCACACACGAGTTACGGGGTCAGCTGCGAAAAGCGATCGGACGAACGAGCACGGGCGCTGTTATAGCATATTAAAGTAGCGAGAGAAACTCACCTTGACGAGCAGATGAACCGGCTGACTGACGCTGAGCTGTTTCTTACTCGCGGCCCTCGACGTTTTGTTGTTGCTCGCGGATCCATGATGATCAGCAGAAGCGGCCGCCGCCGAGGCATTGCGACCACCACTGCTGCTACCGCTGCTCAGACACTTTATCCACGGCATATCACACGCGCGCACCGCCACTAACTGCAACTACTGCAACTGCGCCAATCAAAACAACAACAACACCGTCAACGAACAACAATAACAACAACAACGATAACTGAAGCAGACTCTGAGGCTGGTTTCTTTCTTTCTCTCTCTCTGTCGTAAAGCACCACGGCACATCATACGCCTTCGAACTACTCCGGGGGTGTGCAGGGAGAGGGTTCAATTTTTCTCATCGTGGCCGATGCCGAGCAGACGAGCAGAACCAAGAAGACTCCCCATGGTGTTGTGGCCGCGATTGTAATTACCAAGATCAGCAGCGGCAGCCGGCAATTGCTGCGATGCCATGGCAATGGCACACGGGGGCTTCCGCTATACCTCGCTGCCTTTTCTCAGTCTAATTATCCTCGCAGCTTCGGAGCGAATAGATTTTCCAGACGCGAGCGCCTGCTTGTCATCGACCTCGTTTTTTGCCTTTTGTTTTTGTTTTGATTCGGCTTCACTTGACGTTCGCTGTCACCTGGCACACAGCTGTCATATATATGCTGCTGGTGGCGCGCTCGCCACGCCACGCGTCCTTTGCACTCGCGCAAAAACTTTGCTATTTATTATTTATGTACAATGTACGTCAGCTCGCTAGATTTGGCGCTTTTCGTACAACCGGCTATTGGGCGTCTCGATCGCGACTGTCGGACGCGCGGCTCGCATTTGCCGCTAGATAGGGAAAAAGCTCGGTATACGGGCCAGCTTTTCTCTCAATAATTATCGGCTGACTAAGCAGTGGTGCCGCGCATGCTCACATATGTATATTAAGCTGTTGCTGCTGCTACGAATTCAGCCAGAGCGCCAACTGTGTACCGCCAGTGCGTGTGTTTAATACGCGTGTGCGCTGAATTAGACCTGTCAAACTTGTTATTCCAAGAGCCGAGTGAAATTTGGCATTTTGGCGAGCTTATATGTACGGACGTCGAGTGTCTCGTCGTGGCTTTGCTTTCGAATTTATCTATATATTGTATCGTATCGTACGAAAAAAATAAATCAACTCGTTTTAATAATATATACGCGCGCTCGAGTATAAACTATTTGTCGCTCTGTGTGTATATACGCAGCAGACGAGACAGTCGGTTCCGCGGCCAGGCGTCGACTGTTGAGCTCCGCAACGACGGCAAGAAGCAAAACGCCGGCTCTGAATTGCTTTTGCTGTTGCTGCCTCGCGCAGTTGCTCCTCTCCCCACTCGCTTCTCCTGTGCGCGCATGTGTCTGTATACGTGTGTGCGCGCGAGTGAGTGAGCCGAGCCAGTGCTGCGAGTGACTGAGTACACGCTATATATACAGACTCACGTGTGCATGCTTGCGTGCCCGTGCTCGCCATATCCTAAGCTATATTGAGAATTTTTAAAGGGCCAAGCCGGCCGCGATGCTGCTGCTGCTATGTGTGCCTCGGAGTTTACTTTTAGGGTGCGAATATAATCGAAGAGGTGGAGGATCGGCTGGATATAGCTGCTTCCTACCTATCCTATGTACACGTGACGTATATATGTAAGCGCGCGCCTGCCGAGCTGTGTACACACATAATGGAGCAGGAGAAGAATGATGTCTTTTTGCGGTTTTTTGTATGATACTTTTCTTTTCAGATGTTCCTTCTCGTGTACGCGTACTATACATACACCTCTCTCGAGCCTCCTCGCGAATGAAAGAACGAAAAATCGAGAACGTATTATACGCGTACAGCTCCGAGAGCCCAGCTATACGAGATATTACACATTGTTTTTCAAAGAAATACATATCCCACACCTTTTGTCGTTGTCCTTTTGTGCATGTATGCAAGCGTTCGTGTGGTATGCTGTGTATACGGTGCTTTTGCCCCCCGAGAGAGCGAGCGAGATGCGCTTGCGGAATTTTTTTGCTGCCAGGCGCCCGTAAGTCGTATTACAATCAATCAAGTCGCGCGTGCCAAGCTCGAGTTTATTTTGGTATTACTCGAGTACACACACGTATACACATGTTTGCATGCATTATGACGCCGCTCCGTTCCGTTCCGTTCGCGTACATATTAAATGTACGTGTTCTCGTGTTGAACACAAAACATCAATCTGTATCACGTACAGTGTATGTGTGTGCCTTTTTCAGATATAATTAATTTACATTTGTCAGATATGAATAATTTTTCTGCGCGCGGCTCTCTGGCTTTTTAATGATCCGTGCCATACACAAGATTTATGTCGCGACTCGAATAATCGCGAAAACAGAAAACGAGAAACTGAGAGAGAGAGAGAAAAAAAACTTAACCATTCGAGAGTCTTTATTTTGTCTAGTGCGTGGGTGGAGGAAAAAAAAGCGCGCTTAGCCTATACACCATGCATACATATGCACGAACTGGACGCACATGTGCACAATTTTAATGACGTCTCGCCACTGGTTCACGTAATAGTATACTTATATAAATCCACCATATATACCTGCGCACGCGAGACGTCGACGACCACGACGATATTCGCCGCGCGAAGGGATTATTATTTGCCTTGCGTATACATGTATCCTTCGTGCGCGTGCAGGATAGGTGAAGCTGATGCCTCGCCGACGCCGGGGGATGGCTCTTTGAAGGATTTTGCGCGACCGAAAGTATGCGAGCCGAAAGAGAGAGAGAGAGAGAGAAAGAGCAAAAAAAGGAGAGAAAAAACTTTCTTTTCAAAGACCTCGACCGCCTGCGCAACGTGTGTTTATATTATGAGCGCGAATATATACGGAGACCCGCCGCGGTATATATAAGCTACACGTGATGCGTTTCGCGCTCACGCGTCCCTTTTTTTGGCACACGCGCTTATATACGAGCCTCGGCCGCGCGCGCCACACGGCGATAACGAGTTTTTTCTTCGTTCCGCTTCTCTGTCTCTTTTTTTTTTTTATTAATCTAATTACTTTCCGAGATTTTGATACGATCGTGAGACACGATTATTCACTCTGTTATTATCGCACGCGAGACGCAAACAATGTCATAAAGTGAAGATGTTAAAAATGTTTCGCATATCTCGCGGCGCAGTTCGTTACGTATACAAGCAGGCAGATTGTATTTCATATTTTATGCCATTGAACTCGTGTGGCAGTATAATGATGATTTAAATAAGATTTTCACTACATAAAGCAAGCGTATCGCGTAAAAAATGAACACAAAGGCGACTTTTGCGAGATTTTTAACATTTTTTTATTAAAAAATGCCGTGCGTAGTGAGTACTTTTCAAGCATATATTTTAACATGAAAAGTGAGTAGATGCGCATAATGCCGAGTACATCTCGTCGACTAAAAGAAATGTATACGAGCTGATTCTAAAGCGTAATGAGCGAATCTTACATTTTTTTTCAGCCAAGCAAAATAAAATTACTTTGAGATAATTTTAATGATACGTGCGTCTGTTTTGCGGAGAAAATTATTGACTTTTGCATAAATTAAATGTAAATTAAAGCTAACATGAGCAAGTTTTTAAACTCTGATTATTTAAACGCACGTACACGTGCAACGGATAAAAAAAATTCAATATTATCTTAATTGTGAGGAAGGTAAAACTTTCGAACTTGTAAAGTTTTCTCTCGAGGAAAAAATCAATCGCGAGCGGAAAAGTGTGCCGGGATCGTTACTCAGGAAAGTCGAGAGCTTTTATAATTAAATAGCATACAATATGCGATCGGCAAAATTTATTTATCAATAAACTTTACACGCGCTTGAATTGCAAAGTTTCGAGCGCGCGAGGATGCAGGGTATTAGCTGCAATAACTATCTGTAAACATTGGATAAGTCTGATAAGCTCGAGAGTTTCATAAGGTTGAAATAAATCACTGCACACTTTGCATCCATCTACATGGGAAGTCTGTGGCTCGACATCTGTTTTTCAAGCCCGATACTCGTGTTTTTCTAGCGCGCCGCGCGACCCTTTTCGAGGCTACATCATCTCTCGAGTCCGAGAGCTCTCTTTACACAAAGTTTTCAACTGCGTGCGCGCAGTGTGCGGTGTGTGCATCATCTTCGCGAGACACTCGGCAAATAAATTACGCGCTAGAAGACAAAATACGTCTCTCTCTCTCTCTCTCTCTCTCTCTCTTTCTGTCGTGCGCTGCGCCAACGGAAGCTCGCGAGTCGTGTCCCGCGCTATATACTATACACAACCAGAGGTCAGATCTCACGGAACTCGTGCTCGTACTGCACATTTTGCGTTATTTATAATGTGCATATTAATATGTATACGCGCGCGGTGCACACTCGGAAGGACTACCCTGCTGTATAGCTGTAAATGACTTTTTATGCGGATCGTTACGACGCGCGCCGTAAAACTTTTATGGTATATAAAGTGCCTCATTGATCATGAAGAATTTTCCAAATTTTTTTCCTTGTCTATCGGCTAATGCAGAAAGCCACGTAATATCTATATGTCTGCATTCTCGTTGGATACCAAACAAACCGAGTGAATTCGTACAGCATTGCTTTCTAGATTTACCCATACCCTCTCTTTTTTCTTCAAATAAAAGTAATGAAAAGTGCACTCGAGTTGGAAGTAAATCATTGTGCGGTCGATAATTCGGTCTGCCGAGGAACGAAAATCACAAAGCCGATGTGCACGAGCAAATGAAACGAAACTCGATTTCTTGCGATCCTCGATGATATTTGAAATCACTCTCAAGAGCTTTGGCGAATATCGTCGAGTGGTCGTCATATATCAATCCGCTGCTGTAGCCAGCGACTCTCGGATAATTTCACAATTTCCAATGATATAATAATAGCTATTTTTTCCCGCTGTATATCGATGCGTTGGCTTGTATAATGCAAGTATATACACATGCCCTCCCTTGGCTAATAATGGCGAGACAAAATCATTACATGCCGTTGCGCACACGCTTCAGACACTCTGTACACACTGGCGTACATTATACGTGCTCGCTGCAGCTTCGAACGCTATATAACATCGCATCCACGTGCTACGAAGCTTCTCAATTTTTTCTTTCTTAGCTTTCAAATGATAGCTCCGTGCGCGGAACGAAATGTTGCGATACGTGCCTATAATATGAGACGTTTCTTCTTGAGTTTACTTGCATACGTATATACTATAGACGTTCAGACGTAGAGGTAATATTTTACGATTTTCACAAAAGAATTGTGCGCGAGCCGAGCACAACGAGTGCGTCTGTACTAGCGCCTAGTTCGTCCAATGTGTACAGGCGTATACAGTGAATCGACGACAGTTCCGAGTGCCTCGGCATTTAGGAGAATCGACGCGAGGTACACCTATGTAGAGGCATATTTAGGGAAGCGCGCGGCACGCTGTAATGTATACACCTGGTGCTCTGTGGAAACATCTGTGGATGGGTCGCGTGCCACAGGCCTCTACCAATATATACATATACCCCTACAACGATAGTCGCGCGACGCTATTATTAAGACTCCAACTTTGAATTTGCTCCAACAAGCTCCAACTCTGCTGCGCTGCTTTGTTCAGCTTCGAGTTGTACATATGCGCTCTATAAGCGAGCCTATAAAATGTCTAGCTTGTATGCGCGTATATTATACATAAAAGTTCACGTGCGGTCAAGTGATTATTGACTGACCGCTGAGTGATTTGTAGCGATCGTATATAAATTTATCCTATATACATATATATATACACATCTTATTGGTGTATCGACTCGTGCATTTTCTCCCAATGGGATTCCTAGAATCCGAGGATGAAGAGAGAGAGAAATAGAGAGCGCACACGCTTTTAATGAGTGAAAAATACATCCAACTCTATAACCAATTCATTTATAGAAAGTCAATTTGCCGATGCTGTTGAAGTTTGAAAATAAAATTCTTCGTATTATTTTTATTCCTCGTAATATCGTTACCTCGTCGCTGCTTGATAGCAGATTAACATCCTGACCTACTAAATTCGCTAATAACGCGATTGAATTAATTTTTGATTTCATTTTCGATTTTGATCTCGTTGTTCAAAAATATACTTCAAATTAGAGCAGTCATAAATAATAACTGGATTTTGACTATGTGACGTTGTTTTTACTTTGTTGTAAATTCGATATGATTTTTATTATCTAGTCAGATATCGGGGCGATTCGAAATCGCAAGTCTTGCTA